GCTGATTCTGAGGCAACCTGAAGTTTATTAGCTTTAGTAACAAAACTTTAATGTCACATGAGGATTGGAGATGATGTCTTGGACTTGTATGAGTTGGAACAGAGAACTCTTTATAAAGTCTGACTCTTGAAAAATTATGCCTCGGGGCCCTCCCTGATGGCGCAGTGGGTTGGGACACAGCACTGCAAGCTAGCAGCAGCTGCTTCAGTGTGAGTTTGATCCCTGGTCCCAGAGGTGACCCACATGGCACAGCAAACCACGCCTGTCTCACCTGCTGCTCTCCTCAGCAGTGTTCTTTGTTGATTTGCCTGTTCTGCTCCCCACTCTGTTTCTGATGGATCCTCTTACCCACTTCTGGCCTGTACCCCAGTCCTATATGCATAAATAAATAAATCTTTAAAAAAAAGAAAAGTTATGCCTCTATGAAAGATAGACTAAGAAAAAAGTCCTACATGTTAAGGTTGAAGATAAGGAAGATTGTTTAAACTGGGTTTTTGATGGGGTAGATGTCTTCTTGAGAAGTTTTGGGGTTCCTGGGAATTTAATACTTTAGAGTAAGTAGAATGGACTTCAATAAGTAGCCTATCAGGTAGAAACAATCTAAGTACCCATCAGAAGATGTACAGTTATAGGGAATCACATGGGAGGGAGTTGTATATTCAGTTATGATGGTCAGGAAGAAATCTCTGAGGAGATGCCATTGAGAGAGCCCTAACTGGTGGGGGTGAGGGACAAAGAAAACTAATCAATTAATTTCATAATTGTCATGTAATTTTAGTTTAAAATACATAGAAATTTTCATCTTAGCGAAAATCTTTCTGAAGTTAATTATCCTTAACGAAACATATCATCTTCATGAATGCTAATTATTAGTCTTACTACTCATTTGCATCTAAGTGCTCTTCAAAGCATAAGTTGATTTATTAAATGCAATTAGTTCCTTTTTAAAAAAAGTATCAATAGTAAAAGGTGGTTTTGTTCCCTCCCTACAACCACATAAGACAGTCTTAATAAGGGACATACTTTGGTGTCTCTCGTTTTCTCTACTTTAGGAGGGGAATTCTTGACAAATTCTCAGTAGCGCTAACAGTAACCTATAGTGAAATGTTTCTCAAATAAGGACAATAGATCCAGATATGTAGGGGTTTAGCTCTGAGGCAGTTCTTTGTATATGTGTCCTCTGAGTCCATTTTCTTAACAAGTTCATATGCATATGATTTTTGACTTCCAGGATTATTCTTCATAGCACTTCTTAAGTCATCTGGTCAAAGAATATGACTCATGCTCTTTAACCTACTATTGTAATTTTATCTTGCTTGTAGTTTGCAGGGTTTCTTGAATATTTGCTGTCTTTCAGATTTGGTAAGGTTTTAGTCATTATTACATCAATTCTTATAACATCTACCTTAGACTCATCCTTTTTTATTTTCCACTATTTCTGTAGAAACATGTTGATTACTAGCACATACTGACTACACCCAAGAGGATTTCCTTATCCTCTACCAATTAGTCTGTTAGTGCCTTAATTCATTTTAAGGATGGAGAGGACTTCAAGTTGGGCTCTCATTCTTCTGTCATTGATCCATGATTTTATAATAGTTAATTGTGTGTGCGTATAGTGTTCTATATCCCAACTAGTTAATTCACACATCTATCATCTCATACATTAATTATTTTTGGTGAAAACATGTAAGTTTCTACTTTCAGCAAATTCAATTTTAGAATACAGTGTTTTTAGAGATAGTCATATTATGCATTAGGTCTTCAGATTTCATCTGATACCTGCAAGTTTATACCCTTTTAGCAACCTTTTTATTGCTTTCTCTCCCAGCTCTTGGCAAATTCTTTTCTACTCTATTTCTGTGAACTTGACTTTTTATTTAGATCCACATAAAAATGATACCATTCCGTATTTGTCACTCTCTGTCTGGCTTATTTCACTTACCACAGTGCTCTCAAGGTCCACCTATGTTGTAACAAATGGCTGAATGTCTTTTATATCCTTGATTTTTTTCTCAGGTTGATCTATCAATTATTGAGAATGTGTTATTAACAACTTTGGTTGAATAATCTCTTTTTTTCAAGTGTGTCTTGTCATTTTTTGTCTTATATAGTTTAGGTCTCTGTTGTTAGTTGTTAGTTGTGTAAACGTTTATAATTATTGTATCTTCCTCATATATTCGTCTTTTTAAAAGATTGATTTATTTATGTGTACAGATCTGGGGTGCAGGCCAAAGGTGCAGGTGGGTGAAAGGATTCACCAGAGACATAGTAGGGAGCAGAACAGGCAGATCGATGAAGTACACTCCTAAGGGGAGCAGTGGGCGGGTCAGGAGAGGTCTGCCTGTTCCATGTGGGTCACTTTCCTGGCCGGGATCAACTTGTGTTGAAGTGGCCCTGGCTAGCTTACAGGGCTCCACTTTAACCCGATATGCCCCTAGGGAGAGCCCTATATTCACCTTTTATCGTTATGAAACTTTCAGTCTCTAGTAATGTTTCTTAAAGTCTGTTTCAACTAATAGTAGTAATATAGTTGCTCAGGTTCTCTGGTGGTTAATATTTGTATGATATATCTTTTTATTGATTGATTCATTGTTGGTTTAAAATACTATATACTATTTAGGAGTATGGCTTCACATCTTAGTAAATATATATACCACATTGCACCCACCATTTAAGTTCTAGTGTCATTCATACACCACTACCAAAATGACCTCCCTATACCCATTGTTTACATCTTGTTCCTTCCCTCCTATAGTGAACATCTGTTTGTTCTCAGAGTTATTTTTGTTGTGCTTCATTAGTTTTATTTTTTTAAAAAGTATACAATGGGGCCCTCCCTGGTGGCGCAGCGGGTTAAAGCACAGCTCTGAGAATCTAAAGCCGCTTTCGCATGAATTCGATTCCCGCCTGCCCCGGAGGTGACCACATGGCACAGCAGACCTCTCCTGACCCGCCCGCTGCTCCCCTCGGCGGTGTACTTGGTCGATCTGCCTGTTCTGTTCCCCGCTCTGTCTCTGGTGAAGCCTCTCACCGCCCCTGAGCCTCTGGCCTGTACCCCAGTTCTGTATGCACAAATAAATAAATCTTTAAAAAAAAAAAAAAAGTATACAATGGGCCCTCCCTGGTGGCACAGGGGGTTAAAGCACAGCACTAAGAAGCTAAAGCCATTTCTGCTTGAGTTCGATCCCCGCCTGCCCCAGAGGTGACCACATGGTGCAGCAGACCTTTCCTGACCCACCCGCTGCTCCATCTGCCTGTTCTGCTCCCCACTCGGTCTCTGATGAATTCTCTCACCACCCCTGCACCTCTGACTTGTACCCCAGTTCTGTATGCAAAAATAAATCTTTTTTTTTTTTAAAGCATACAATAACTGGGGTACAGGCCAGAGGTGTCGGGGGAAGAGGACTCACCAGACTGAGGAACCGAACAGGTGAATTGACTGAAATATACTATTGAGGGGAGCAGTAGGCAGGATAGGAGAGGCCTGCTGCTCCATGTGGGTTTGGTCAGCTCCCTGGCTAGGGGTGGAACGCCTGCTGCAGTGTCTGTGGATAGCTTCATAGTGCTGAGACTTAACCCCTTGCACCACAAGGGAGGCCCTTAGTTTGCTTTTTTGTATTCTACAAATGAGTGAAATTATGTAGTATATGTTTTTTTCTTTCTGACTTATTTCACCTTAGCATATTATTTCAGGTTCCATCCATGTTTTCACAAATGGCAAAATTTCATCTCTTTTTAATATAGATAAGTAGTATTTCATTGATTATATATCAAATATTCTTTATTGGGTCCTCTGTTGATGGCCCCCTTTCATACAAGGATATAAGAGATATTGTATAAAAATTTAGGTTGTCCCCATGTCTCAACTATTATACATAATGCTGCAATAAGCATGAGGTGCGTATATCTTTTGAAGTAGTGTTTACATGTTCTTTGAATAAATACCTGGAAGTGGAACTGCTGAAACATTTGACAGTTCTACTTTTAATTTTTTTTTGAAGTAGTGTTTACATGTTCTTTGAATAAATACCTGGAAATGGAACTGCTGAAACATTTTACAGTTCTACTTTTAATTTTGTGAGGGATTTCTTTACTATTTATCCATAGAGACTATATCTATTTACATTCCCACCAACAGTGTACACAAGTTCCTTTTTCTCCCACCTTTGCCAGTACTTGTTTCTAATCTCTTTGATATGGCCATTCTCACAGTGTAAAGTGCTATCTTATGGTGGTTTTGATTTTTACATTTCCCATTTTTATGTTCCCCCCAATACTTCTGTGGTCTCTAGCCATTAATATGTGGGTAGTTTGGATTTCTCTAGTTACTGCTACACATGAATGGAACCTCTGTTTATCCAGGAGTTGTACATGGAGAGTTTAGACAAGTTTATGTATGGCTGTTTTTCCTCTAAGATATCTGTTAAATACGCTACTAATCTGTAACCTTGGTTCTTGTCTCCAATTAGAACTGCAACCATCCAACCACTTGGGTGGTTTCAGAATTTTTCCCTTCACTTATAAACATGGGCTTTCTGTTCTCGACTCAGTCCTCTCTTTCAGCATAGCTGCTAGTTTCCTATCCTGGAACTACCACCTGCCTTAATTTTTGGGAGGAAGAATAATGGTAGTGGACACATAAAATAGTACCACAGACTTCTGATCCCAAGTGCAAGAAACTTTTATGAACAAATACTCCTCAGTTTATTGTTTACCTTTGGTAATTATTCAGTTAATTGAAATAATAATTTTTGACAACTTCCCCCTTTCTTCCCCCAGCTATGTCTATGTTTGTTGTTGCAAAGAGGGTTTGCCAAAGTCTTTGCTTCATCATGCTGCAAGCATATTTTGCTTTTGGTATTTTTTGAAATATTTATGTGGCCTTTCATACAAGGACATACAAGATATTGTATTTTAAAGTTCATTTAAAATTTACACCACAATTCAGTTCATCTAATGAAGATTATAATTAAACAAAAAAGTTTTTATTGTTGCAGATTTCAAGTTCCACCTATAAAGACAGAAATGAAGAATACAAAAGACAATTTACACATCTCCCTGATACAGAGAAGCTCATAGCAGGTAAAAATAAATAGATAAATAAATAAATAAAATACAGGAAATTGTACCCCCCCTCAGCATTTTACCATCTTTTTATCAAAATAGAACTGATTAGTGACTGTATTTGTGGAACAAAAAGCCTTTGTGTTAGATAGAAAATATTTTTCAATATAAGCAGTTTTTATTCACAACTAGACAGTGTAAAACTAAGTTGTAATTTGGGGAGGAGTGATTTCTGACTTGTGTATTAAGTATTAGTTAAGACAATGGAATTAAGAGGAACTAATTTCTCATAATCTCTTCAATGCTTATTTCAATGGTTTTATAAGAAAATTTGATGTGCAATACATATTACCTTTTCCAGGAAAGTGTACTCCTTAATAGATTGTATGATTTTTATATTATAAAATTTTAGGAGAAATTTATACATGTACTTTTTCCAGATAGATTTTTTTGAAATAAGTTTTAAGAGGAAAATTTTATGCATTTTTCTTATGAAAGGGCCTTCTTTTTGCAATAACACAACAGATTTTTAAAATCAAAATATATAACAAGGTTTTAGCTTTAGTATATATTTCATTTAAATCAATTACTCATAGGAGTTTCTCAGATTTCTGAATATTTAGTTCAAACTGAATTTCTAGATAGTTCTATTCAGCATTTTAAATGTCCTAATCATGAATTAAAACATTTAAAAAACATTTGAAATTAATCTATTCTCATGGTAAGATGTCGAAATACTATTTATGGGGCCCTTCATGGTGGCACAGTGGGTTAGTGCACAGCACTGCGAAGCTAGCCTCAGCCTCTTCAGTGTGAGTTTGATCCCCGGCCAGGGAAATGACCCACATGGCACTGCAGACCTCTCTTGACCCACCTGCTGCTCCCTTCAGCAGTGTACTTTGCCAGTCTGCCTGTTTTGCTCCCCACTCTGTCTCTGGTGAAGCCTCTCATTGCCTCTGCATCTCTGGCCCATACCCTGGCTCTGTAGCCATAAGTAAATATTTTTTTAAAAAAAGAAATATTATGATCAAATGGTGAACAGTGGGTGGCCCTTCCAACTAAGACAACTCCAGCATTTTTTCTGGGTGATAACCACTGTTAGCAATTTCTTAGTGTATATTTTCAGAAATTTTCTGTATGTATTTCAAGAGCAATATGTACATATATTTCTAAAAGAACTTAAATGGGAGCACACTGTACTACTGTTTGAATCAACCAAAACACACTGCTGAGGAGAGAATCAGGGAAGGCCTGCTATGCCCTGTGGGTCAGTTCCCTGGCCAGGGATTGAACTCATGCTGCAGTTGCTGTGGATAAATTCACAGTGCTGAACTTTAATCCCTTGCACCAGCAGGGAGGCCCCCAAAATGAGCAGTTTTAACAAGATACAGAAGTAGTACAAAGGAGGATATAACTTATCATCTTGGAGGAAGCAAATAGTTTAACATTTCGAATATATTATATTTGACAAGCTATCTAGAATGTATATATAAGATATTACCTAGAAGTAAAGAATTAGTGTATATCTTAGTAGCCTGATAGTTGAGTTTTCACCAACTCTTGTATGCCCTTAGTTTTTTTAGTACTGCAGCTGTAACAGTTTTTCTGAAATACAATCTGATCAGGTTAAAACCCTTCCTGGGTGGCATTCCACTAACTTCAGACTAAAGCTTGACTTCCTGACTTACTGCCTTTCATATACGTTAAATATCATCCCAATCCTCCTCTTTTCATCACGCTGGAAAAATGTGTTGGGGAATTATAATTAAAAACAAATATCCTACCAAAGAAGAAAACCTCTTCACAAAAGTAGAGGAGAAAGAAAATATTTTATTATTGAATAAACATTAAGCCAGATTATGTGATGTACACATAGGCAATCTACAAAAGAAATATAAAGACAGAAAGAAATCTTGCCCATTTATATAGCCGAGTAGATACAACCCCATTACACATGTTCCAAATATAAACCTGTCTAGTCCTTAAGGAAGAGGACTTGGCAGCATCATTTGTCACACAGATCATCCTAAATTCACAAGGTAATTGGGGTGACTTAGTTAACTGATTTTATCTAAAGGAAAATAAACTCTTATCTTTGTGATATAAGTCAATTTTGCAAATTGGAGCAAGGTGCCCACTGAAGTTAAAAAAAAAAATTGGGAGATAAGGACCTTTTTTCCCCTGATATTTTTATTTCAAAGGGATGGATCCCAGGTCCTCGAGAAAACTCTGCTGCATTGTAAAACAAGCAAGAGGTTTATTTTGCTTTAAAAAGGATTTATAAAATAAATGTAAAATATTTAAAAAATGAGAATAGTTATCTTGTAATTTTCATACTAAATATGAAAATAATCCTAAAAGTGTTCCAAAGAGTCTTTTTAAAACATCAGCATTATTTGACTTCCCAAAACGACTGCAATGAATTATTCCAGTCATATTAAAAAAAACATATTCTCATAGTTCACTGTTATTGCCCTTATGTACATATGGCTAAATACTTTGGTCAAGTTAACTAGTATATCTTTGTTTAAATATAAGTATATGAGTTAATGTGTAAGCTTACTCTAGAAATATATGCTGCTGACTCACTTCATCTGTATTTTGTGATACTGTACATATTTCTGTTGGGAGTAGAGGAGAGTGAAAGAGAACAAAGATGTAAGTAAAGGGGGAACTCCAGAGGACTGAGTGGAGTCATGCTCTAGGGAAGGGGACGGTTACAGGTTTTATAGGCACAGAGGGGCAAAGACTCAAGACTGCACCAGTTTCAAAAACAGATGCCAGGATGCCCAGTTTGGATAACAGGACATTTTACACTGGTGGTGTTTGTAAGAGTTGTTTCCACCTGTGTTTTTCTGCTGTCTTGTCCACCCACCTTTGGTTAGGGCAAGCTAGGCCCCTTCCTTCTGACCTAACAATTTCTACTGTAGCCATTGTCATGCTGGAGTTATTTATTAAAATATATCTTTAGGCCCTCCCTGGGGGTGCAGCGGGTTAAAGCACAGCACTAAGAAGTTTAAGCCACTTCACCATGAGTTCGATCCCCGCCTGCCCGGGAGGAGATCCACATGGCATGGATCTCCTGACCCGCCCGCTGCTCCCCTCAGCAGTGTACTTTGTCGATCTGCCTGTTCTGCTCCCCACTCTGCCTCTGGTGAATCCTCTCACCCTCCGCATCACTGGCCTGTACCCCGGTTCTGTATGAATAAATAAATAAAATCTTAAAAAATATATATATATCTTTAAGAGTTGGAGCCATTTAATTGTGCAGAAAATGATGTTCTAATAGCTAATACTTTGATGTTAATGATATATGAAGTGACTATATGCTTGGTTAACATTAACTTTGTAGTTATTCATTATAAAGTAATTTTTGATAATTATTACTTTCTTATTTTATTCTAGGTGAATCAAATTGGTAGTATGACTCTCCTCATGTAGAGTATTGCTTTCTTTTTTTTGAATCTTGCTTTGTAAAATGCTGATTGTTAACAAGTTTTTGTTTCTTAGGAGGGAAATTGCAAACAAAAAGAAAATTACCTTTTCAAAAATAAATAAATAAAACCCCTTTGCCTTTTTTTCAAATTTAATTTTCCATTTCTTGCATAGGACACATTGCTTGGAAGCTTTTTGTTGAAAAAGTTCATTGAAGTATATGCTTATTATAATAAAACACTTAGGGAAACCATTTTTTAAAAACTCACAAAAACCTGGTAATCTATTAATTAATTAAAACATCCAGTTGATTACTATAGCTTTGAAGGTAGTTAATGTAAAATAATACAGTGATTTCCAAAGGGTGATCCACAAACCAGCAATATTGGTATCACCTGCAAACTGTAGGCAAATTCTTCACATTACCCTAGAGCTATTTAACCTGGGAGAGACACCTAACAATCTGTTTTAATAAGTCTGCCATTCATATAATTTCTGATCTGCAATTTGAGAAACATTGAATTAATAAAGTGTTTCAGTGGTGTAGATTAAAATTTCAGGATACCTCAAGGTGACCTTTAGCCCTATCCCAGTTTCACAGATGCATATTTGTAAATGAGTAACATTATCTGTTTAATTATTTACTTGGGTTTTTGGTTTGGTGTTGTCTTAGTTTTGTTTTTCTAAAGGGAGCATTATGAAAGACTAAATTCCTATGTTCAATTTTTAGCATTTGCTTAGAAATTTAACATGGTTAAATTTAAATATTTTAAAGATCATAGGCCCAATAACTTTTTGCTAAAATTGCTGATTGCTTTGTTTTAAAAATGTATCAGTTACATAGGCATAAAACTATAAAGCAACCCTTAATATCTTGCATCATTGCAATTTAGCTGTAGTATTTATATTAGCCGTGGTACCACATCTTCATCTTAAGAGGTATGGTATTCACTTGGTGGGCAGTGGCAATTAGCAGAACACTCTTGATTTTGCTTGATTTTGGTGCCGAGGTGGATAGGGTCAACTTTGAAAGTAACTTAAAATGGGTACATTTTTATATTCATCCTTATCCCCTCCATTTACTCTCATCTAACATCTAATTAATCACCAGCCTCCCTCAGAACTACCTCTTAAATAGTTTTGAATCTAAATACTTTTTGCTAATAGTGCCATCCCCTGGTCTGAGCCGCCCTCACTTTCTCTCCAGACTTCTAACTGATTTATCTGAATCTGTCTTTACAGTGTGAACAAGGTGGTCATTAGTAGTATTTGTCTGATCTTTTCACTTCCACTTAATGCTTATCAGTGGCTACCAGTCTGATGTTCTAGCTTCACCAGCTTTTCAGGCTCAGAGATCTATTTATCTTTATCTAGTTGCTCAAATGTACTGTATGTCTTTTTTACCTAGGACTTTTCACATGCTCTCCCCTCATAGTCCAGCTGTCCCTTTATTGATTTTTAGATCTCAGTTTAAAGATCACTTTTGTTGGTGAACTTTTCCTGATGTATCTTCTCCTGGTCCCATCCCCCATTCCTGTCCACCCCTTATTACATGCTCTCATAGCTTTCTTTATATTTTGTTTTTTTTCACTTATTTTTGCATTTGTTTGTTATATTTTTCTTCCTGTAGACTGTGTTCTCCATGGGCAAGATTCATTTCTGGTAATCCCAGTACCTAGCAAAATATCTAGTGTATGGTGCCCAAAGTGTCTGAATGAGTAAATGAATGAATCAGTGAACAGTGACAACTTTCCATGTTTTATAGAATGTATAAAATGCATACCAGAATTTTGTGATTAAGTTGTTCCTTGTTTTGTATGTAGATTATGCTTGTGCTCTTCAGAGAGACATTTTGCTTCAGGGACGACTATACCTTTCAGAAAACTGGCTGTGTTTCTATAGCAACATCTTCAGATGGGAAACCACAGTAAGCCATATTTTGATTTGATTTATTGATACAAATAATCGCATAGTTATGTATACAGCCCTCCTAAAAACAATTTAATTTAGATTCTGAAGTAAAATTATACATATTTATCTATGTATATGTATAAATATATGTGTTGTATAAGTGCGGATTCTTCTTAATAAGTTGCATTCCTTTTGTATGTATTTATACAGTTGGAGAAAATTTTCAGGTTGGAAAAAACCTTGAACAGACTTCCTTCTGGCTGCCAAAATCATTTCTTATGTGACAGACTGTCTGCATTTTGTTTGTGTATGTGTGTATGTTATGTGGAGCATGAACACCCACATGCCTTTTCACACTTGATTTTAATATTAGATATAGGATCCATTGCGGGAAATTACTGAAGGGTAAACGCCTGGCTGCTTCTCTTGTTTTTCCCGGAGAGTGCAAGTGTGTGTTTATTAACTCCTTCAGGGTTTTCAACTGAATAGTCTCAGTTACATTAATGTCATACTTGATGTTTTCTATTGTGTATGTTTATGAAAATTCCATTTTGCAATTTTTCATTTTCCTGTGTTGTTTAGATTTCTATTGCTTTAAAGAATATAACCTTCATGACCAAGGAGAAAACAGCTCGACTCATCCCAAATGCTATCCAAATCGTTACAGAGGGTGAAAAGGTGAAAAAGTTTATTGCCTTTGCCTTACTACATAAAATGGACATGATTCCAGTTTCTGCTACTATTACTGATTCTCTTTTTGATCATTTGATTAAGTTGTTGTCTGCCAGATACTCCTGTAAAGCTTCTCTTTTCCTTTGAATTAATATTTTGTGGCAAGCACTTTGAAACTATAGAAATATACTATCCCTCATCACACTTAAATTTATTTATTTAGTTATATCAGTATGATCTTACAGTTTTCTGTTTTTTTCAATTAGTTGGAGTCCATCACTATCATTACTATTTTGATATGCAAATTGTTCCACTTTTTGCTCACTATCTGCATTGTTTTACTTTTTTTTTTTTTTTTTTACCTGAGGGCTGACACGAGAAACAGTTCTTACATTTCAGCATTGTGTTGTAGTCTAAGTGGCAGTGTTTGGTTTTAATGATCCATAATAATGATGTATACCTCAAATCCACTTATCTGTTTTCTTTTTTTTT